TACACGGTAAGATATACAACAGTTCATTCCCTTAGTGTGTCCTCATTTTTTTTGCATTCCAAGATATATCGGATCATTTTCTTGGTATGTCCTTATTTTTCTTTGCATGCTAAGAGTATACACAAGATCATTTTCTTAGCATGCCTTTTTTGTTAAAAGTGGGTGATCATTCCTTTCTCATAACCTCAAAAAGGTACCTAGCCATTTCTTTTTAAAAACATATCCTTTTTTTTCATAAAAACCATAAAGAAAAATCATTTTTATGGTTATGATATGCAAATGCATTGTAGACATGAATAATCAATAAAACATGCAACAAGCATGCATGTAACATAATCATACATCAAATACTTGTTCTATATAAAAAAGCATGCATGTAAACATGAATAATCCATAAACACATATTATGACCGGATGTTTTAGCAATATAACCAATTCATTTTTCACATGATTACAATAATTTTTCATGCCATTTTATACCTCTAAACCTCAAAATTAACTTTAACCTTACATTATTCCTTTTTTTCCTTTGTTTTCATTCTTGGTCGAAAGCGGTCAAAGATGGAAAGACAACTTCAATTTCTTCCTTTTACCTCTATTTTTCATCTTTAACTTCTTAAAATAACACATTCCTCATCATTTTAACATGAAGTAGGTTAAATTTTTATTTAATCTAAATCTTCTTACTTGTTTGAATTCATCACAAAGTGACGAAGTTTTAATGTTTCCTATTTAACATCATAAATATCTTTAAAGCATTTCATCAAGCATGTTGCAAACATTAGGTCTTAAAACCACTAATTTATTCAAATTTAAGGATACCCAACCATCTTGTTTTAAGAACAAGGACAACCTCAAAACTCAACCATTTAATTCAATTAAACATCAAATCATTACAATTCAAACTACATAATTTTATATCCACCAATACAACCACCAAAATCAAACAATAACATAGTTTCACTAACAATTAAACCATTAAATCTCAAGCAATTTAACTTCAATTTATCATGAAATATACATCAAAGATAATAATTTATTATGATATAGTGAGGATTAAACTTACCTCACTTGAAACTTAGCTAATCCTCATTTCTTCTTTTTCCTTTCTTCCAAAAATTTCAACCAAAATAGTAACAATTCCTCCTTCTTTATTTGATCTTTTAAAGGTTTTTTAAAGATGTTTCTAGGCTAACTAAGGTGGTTAAGAGTGGTATTTGGATGGTTTTCTTCTTGGTCGGTGTAGTTTCTCCTCTAGCTTATAACCCTTCTTTCATCTTCTTCCTCTCCTTTTATAGCCATGATTTTCCCTTAGGATCAAGCCGGTGTGTCACACTTGGTTTAATCTTAAGGTTGGTTATTAATGGCTTCTAGATTTTTTTTCTTTTTTTTATAGATATTTTTCTCTTATTTCTTTTCTCTTCGCCACCTCTATTTGTCTCTTTTTCTCTTAATTTTTTCAGCATTCTCTAGCCAAAATTTATCCCTAATAATCAATTAATAAGTCCCCAAAAGATTGATATTTTACACTTTAATACCTAAACTTTTAATTTTTGCAATTAGCCCCTCCAATTTTTGTCCATAACTTCACATTTTTTTCTCAATTTGGCCCTTATCTTATACCTTTTTTGAAGATTATTTAAGTCCCTAAAGTTGCCTAATTATTTTAATCAAGTAATTAAACTTTTAATTTTTACGATTATGTCCTCGGTTTTGCAATTGTGTTCCTAGGTTAAAATATAACCATATCAATTAATGGTACCAATCTCTAATTCAAGCCTTACTCATTTCATTAATCTACCCCTTCAATCCTACTTGTGTTTATTTCATTCTTAATTAAAGTTTAAACTTTATTCCTCACATTTAGTAAACATACTTTTATTAATTAAATTAAATATTTATATTTAAGGAGAATTTTAGGTCATGAATATTACAATAGACATATAGTATAGTAAAATCATATATTTAATTTTTACATGCATACAATATAGCCTACCTCAAATAAGACATGGTAGTTATGATTTTGATATTTCCTACCCATAACCAATTCCTTAGTTAGATATTTATGTAAATCATTTATTTTAGGTTCCCTAGTTTCCATTATAATAGGTGGCAACTCTTCTCTTATTTCTCTATCCTTTTTTTAACTTATTTCTCTATCTTTTTTCTAAGTGTTTATCGAACCTCTAATATCGCGAGGTTTTTTTCCTCCACGATAGTTTGACGATTCAACTAGGGATAAATACTAGGGTTAAGTTTTGAATGCATATGTTAATGAAATATCCGGTTGTGTTTTATATTTCTATACATGTGTCATTTATTCTTGAGTGAATTTTATTTATTTATTTTTGCTTTTTTTTTTTGTTGTTTATTTGTGTTTCTATGTTATAAATATTTTAGATTATGTGAGTGTGTACATTTGGTGAATGTATTTTTTTTTTGGGTAGCTTATAGTTGTTAGCTTTTTAATTTTATTTTCTCGTATCGGATGTGGAGTAATTTCCTTACATACATAACTACATAATTATAATATTGTATGCATTTGTCTCGGGTTCTATGGAGTTAGTAGTGGTGTCCTAATAGATTTTATCCCGAGTAAACACTCACGAAATCTCAAACCTTCATGCTAGTCGTCACCATTGTGATGGATAATCGATGATTTTCATGATTGCCAATGTTGTTGTAATTAGTCTAAAATGATTCTGTTATGCTTTACTAGGCTAGAAGATACCCTTTTGAGACTTAAATAGATTCTATATGTTCATATAGTGGCAAAAACCGAGCCTAAGATCATTTTTCTTTATTAAGAACACTAGGAGATATATATGCACTTAACTATTGATGTTCTTGGGATTTAGAATTATATGACTTTTAATATCCGAAAAGAAGTTATAAGAGATTACATATATAAAGATTATATAAGCAAAAAAAAAAAACATAAAATATATTTATAATAAATGAGGGATAAATCATAGTAAAAGAAGGGGAGAGAATTAAAATAAATTTCTTAAAAAAAAAGGGCATTTTGGATGCCCAATCATCGATTTTTTTCTATTTAAGTACTTAAACTTTGATTTTTTTTTCTATTTAAGGGTTCACAGTCATCCGAGAGTAAAAAGTTGTTGATGTGTCTAGAGTTGATCTGCCATGTGGTATTTTTACTACTATGTGACGTTAAAAATATCACGTGATAATTCTCGTTGGATACGTTAGTAAAATTATGTTTCAAGTAATTTCGGGTATCAAAACAGAAAAAAATCAAAGATTGGTCATGAAAAATCAATGGTTGCAATAAAAAAATAAAAAAATCAAATGCTGGATTTCAAAAAAACCCTTTATTTCTTTTGTTGAATTGTTTAATTGATGTATTTATTGCTATGACGTGCTAATATTTTTATTTTTTTATTGGGTTCAACGAGAGGCCTTTGAGGAGCCTTGGGCTACACAATGACATAACCCTTTTTAATATATAATTTTTTAAAAATGGAGTCATTAGTATTTAAATTTTACTTAATTGAAAAAGATATTTAGATACACAATTATTAAGTCAAGTCTGTATATATATATATATATATATATATATATATATATATAACATTAATTATCCTCTGTAATTTTCTTATTTCTTAGCTAGGAAAAAAAGTTCTATTGTCCTAACAAGTAAAAATCTCTCGAATCCCATGATCTTAATATAGCGATTTGAATAATCGAATTTTTTTTCAAACTAATACACTTTTAAATCTTTATTTCTCAATTGAGTTACCTTTAAACTTAATTTCTCAAACAAAGATTTTTTTTTGCCACATGAAATTTTTTTATTCACGTCATTTTTTTCTTAATTGTTGAAAAATAATTTCATTACATTAAATAGTTTCATCTTTATTTTAGATATTTCATTAATTAAAAAATATAAAAATGCTAAGTCTCTCTTTTTAAAAGAAAAAACATAAAAAAGCTTTCACCTTTTTAGGTTTAGGGGCTGCCGCTAGTCAAACTGCGACTGGTGGCTAGCCCTAATACTTTTTTTTTTTTTATCCATCTTCTTTGTTCCTCTAAATTTTTTTTAGGTCTAGTTTCTTTTATTATTATTTTTTTTCTCCTTCTGTTGTTCCTTTCAGATCTAGTTTCAGATTAACAAAAATAAATTATGTCTAATTTATAAAAAAGTCCTCTGTAATTTTTAATATACTTGAGAAATTTTCAAGCCCTTTTGTTATGGAAAACAGAATATAAGGCTGTTTGTAATTGCAGGCTTAAACACTTAGGGGTCTTCCACACTTCTTCCCTAATTACATAGGGTGGCGCAAATGGCTCTCTCTCTTGTTTCATACTTGCAAAACCAGTTTCGCATTTTCACACAAAAGAAATCCCAAAATCAACCAGATGACTCTCTTCTTCTTCATCTTCTTCAAATGGAGGGACCTAAAAGTTTTCATATGTGAAAGGAGTGGAGGGAAAAAAGGCGAATGAACACCTGGAAATGCATCTGAAGGTCTGGTCAAAAGCGACGACTGAAATGAAAGTCGGTGGGTGATAAAAAGATAAATTATTATAAGTTGAAATGAAAAAGGATAGAAAGAGATAAGAAAAGAACGATAATACGAAAAAGAACAAATTAATATAAAAAAATAATTAAAAAAATTAATATATGATGATAAAATATTTATTTAATAAAATAATTAAAAAAATTGACATGATAAATTATATAAATGAGATGTTTTTTATTTTTAATAAATAAATTTAAAATAATTTTATTATGATAAATATGATTTAAAAATATCTTATTAAGAAAAAAAACTAATGAATAATCTGTCATTAATCGGATGCGAAGTTTTACTTTGTGCGGGAAAGTTAAAAGTTAATAAATGAAACAATAAAATAAAAATCCTCCTCTAGATTTTCTGGAATTGATCGACGGCGATGATGTTGCTTGCTGCTTATCTCACTGAAAAACAGTACAGAACACAACGGACCTGAACAAACTACTCTTCTTTCTTTCCATGGCTGCAACAATCTCAGTCTCGGTCTCTCTCAATCTCCCCTCAAATTCGCAACCCTACAGAAGACTGCCCTTAATCCTTTCACCTTCAAATCTCCAACACCCTTTTCTTCCTCTCCACAAATCTTGCCATTTCAACTCCAGATTCTGTTTCTCCTCAAACTGCTCTTCTTCTCCTTCTTCATCACCATCATCAACAACAACAACAAATACAGAAACACCAAGCGCTTCCAGCACCTATTCATATCTTGAGGATTCATTTAAAACAGGGAGGTTCTTGAGCAATGAAGAGATTGAAAAGCTTAAAGCACTTCAAGATTTCACATATTATCAACAACTTGAAACTGGGTCTATTTTGGTTCGGGTGATGAAGCCAGAAGAGATGGATATCACCGTTAAATTGCTTGCAGAGTCATTTGCCGAGTCTATGTTGTTGCCTGTTAGTTATTTGTCTTTGTTGAGGTACTTTGTGAAGCAGTACTTGATTGAAAGGAGAGCTGCGATGCCTCATGCAGTTACGCTTATTGGGTTTTATAAAGGGGAACGAGAGATGAATAGTGGAGAAGAAGAGGAGGACCTCGAAGAGTTGGCAGGGACTGTGGAGGTTTGTTTTGACAAAAGAGGTGCTAATGCTTCTCCTCCCACACCTACCCCTCCTAAGAATGCTCCTTACATTTGCAACATGGCTGTTAAGCAGTCACATCGTAGGTAATTGCGTTTTGCTTTTACATTTTTCTTTTTGTTTGGGTGCTTGGAATTAGGCATTTCTAGTTAAAATTTGTTAACTTTGCTTTTATTTGGAATTATAGACGTTTCTTATTAAACTTGTGAATCTTGATCAATATTATGCCCAATAGGAACCTTTCGTATACATTTAACTCTCAACCTACAACCGTTCTTTGTTCTTCTAAGTTACAAAAAAGTTTGAGAATGTGTGATTGTGACACTATATGACCTCTGAAATCTTTAACGAACAAAAAACTACTCCAGGAAGGTTGATAACCTGTACATACAAGTCTTTGCTATTTGAGTATTCTAATAGGATTGAGTTTTTAGGCAGATGACGATTTTTTAGGACAATTTAACGATAGACATTTGGAATTCAAAACCTTCACTTGTATTCATGGCCAAATATGGTTTGGCTACTTGATTTCTCTTTTTCTTGCTACCTGCTCAAACACAATTTTGCATTGTGCTAACTAATCGAACAACACCAGAAGTTGGATCAACTCGATGGAGAACGATGCATTTAATTTGTTATAACATTATTAGTTGAGAGAATTAGAAGTATGAGAACCTTGATACACTTCTATCACAAAGTGTAGTTTAAGATTTTGGACTCATGGCTCCTTTCATAGGTGATACCTTTTTCTATGACTGCATAAATATGCCAATGCCTTGACGACATTTCCATGATCTACATATCTTCACAACACACACTGTTGCAATTTTATATTTTTATTGGTAACTCACCCCTACATGATGACCCTAAGCTACTAGACCAGTTTCAAACCCTTCAATATCTAAGTAAAGTGTGTGCAACTAGACTGGATTTAATTCTATGCCTGTGGAACTTCCAGGAGGGGAATTGGTTGGAATCTTCTGAAGGCAAGTGAGGAACTGATTTCTCAGATGAGTAGCATGCAAGATGTGTACTTGCACTGCAGAATGATTGATTCAGCCCCCTTCAACATGTATACAAAAGCAGGTTACAATATCATTAAAACTAATAGCATATGGGTCCTATTGATGTTGCAGAGGCGCAAACATTTGATGTGCAAGAAACTTGCAGTCTTAAAGAGCCCTTCGGAACTTGATATTTCAGGCTCTGATATGGAATTTTCTTCACAAATGGATACGTGGAAGTCATGACATTTGTTTCTGAGGTATATCAAACACTGTCTTGATTGGAGTCATAATTTTTTGTGCAGCTCTCTCTCCCCCTCTCTTCTTTTCAATTGTTTTTGTTACAACTTCTGTTCCTTTTTTTTTTCATCAATCTCTTGAATATATCTATTTCAAGATTTTTCTGCATGTCGTTACTGTATTTGAATATTGTCTGTTACACTTTTCTTATTCAAGATTTGGATTCTGGTCCAGGTCCTTCAAGGTATAGTCTGGTCAGGTTGTGGTGATCATCCAATTAGGTTGATTTTGGCTAGGAATTCAATCTGATGGTCCAGCATCTCCTTGGTTGTAATTTATCATTTTCATGGTGGAAACCTATTGTGTTACAGGTAATCTCATTAGGCATCTCCGTTTCTTACATGTCATGTACGGTATAATCAATGACTTTACAGTACGTGCATATGACAGACAGAAAATGTAAATATGTCCAAGACCTTGGACAAAAAGTAAAACAAGGAATAAAAGAATCCAGTGCTTCTTTAGTTGGTTGTGAGATCTCAATGGAACCTGCTATATTATTTCTTTTATCGGGTGAAGAATGTATTCTCCATATTTCAACATGATTAATATACAAAAGTTGTCATTGAGTGGAAAAATAAATAAAGCGAAATGTTGATTCTAGACAGAACAAAATATACACATAATGTTTTTTGCTGATCGTAGGTTCTCAGTTCTTTGCTCTCTACATTTTTATGATTCAAGTTCTCTACCTTAAAGCCATGTTTTTTTGTTTTCCTTGAATTTCTTCTGCTGTAGTTGATAAATTACCAGAATCTTTTCTCCATAATGAGTCTGTTTCTTTGTTGCATGCTCATACTTTTTAAATCATAGGTCTCTTGCCTTCCAAGTTTCAATAACCAAATGAAGTATAATAGAGGATCTTTATTGTTGATGTAACACTGTGCTGATGAACCATTGGGGTTTGTTAGACCATTTTGAAAGTCATCATGCCCATGCCCATGCCCATTGGTTTTGAATTTGTATAGATAATTGTTTGGAGTTCTTTTACACATTCGGCCATGGAGGGTCTCTCACTGCTCTCAATGCGGACACAGCGTGAAGCCAGGTTGGCAAACATGGCTATAGATTCCAATGTGTATGAACTCCTACTAAGCTCTGGATCAATTACCTTGCGTAATTTCTTCCTATCATTCAAAATATGCCTAACCTGAAACATAAAGGATTGCTTATTTAGTATTTCAGCCATGTTCATTGCTAATCCTCTAATATCCTCAAAACTAAAGTAAAAATATCAGTCGAAATGGCATGAGTTTGTGTTACCTGTAGGACAAGGTTTTGATCACTTGGTCCCTGGTTTAAGTCTACCGCTCTACGTCCAGTCAAAAGCTCAAGAAGAACCACTCCAAATGCATAAACATCACTTTGTAAAGTGAGTTTCCCCGTCTGTCATGAAAGAGAAAGGCTAATCTTTAGATCCGATTTGCTAAAAATATTTAATTGGGCAAAAATAAATATCTGGGACCGAAAATTGTCGTGCAATAATTCTTACTTTGTTGAAGGCATAGACTCCAACTAACAAGGGATTGATGGGATCAGTCCTAAGTGCCTAACTGAGTTGAGTTAAGCTGATAATTAAGAGATATAAGTTTCAGACTAGGAGTTGTTTGCTGTTTCTGAGTGACTGTCAGATTGTTGCTCTGAAGGATAATTTTTTTTTTTTTGTTTAACTGCTTTCATTGAATATGTTCTGTGCAAGAGTAGAACTTCTGTGGTGATTAACATAAATCCAGGCAGGACCAAATCTAGAGAGTTTGCATAACAAAACATTCCTGGAAGAGAATTTAGAAATAACCTTCAGCATTGATTTATTTATTTGATACACAAAATGCAAAAATCAGAACATGCACTGTTTTGGTCACAAACCCAAGATGTTTACTATTACAGGAAGCGTTGTAATTGTCCTAGAGTCTGCATAACTGATAACTTCAGGTTTTATGTGACGCGTAGTATATTCTTGTTGGCCAAGGTTACTTAGATTCTTACAATTAATCCAAAGTTGTTGGAAATTCAGATTCAGATTTCCTGCCATCTTTGTTTGGTTTAAGATATAAAACGTATCTTAAATTGCTAGCAAGTCCTGTAGGGTTGCTAGAAAAGAGAAGTTGCTAATATTCTTTGTTAAATGCTTCTGTTTCTTGACGGCTTTCACTTTTATATGCAAGTTAGCAAGCACAGGTCAAACTAGTACGTAAAAAATGTGAGTACACTCTTAAGGCTAGTTAGGTTCATCTCTAGTTGTAACTCACAATTCTTTACCTTCTTAGCTGCTGAGAAACATTTCTTCTTAGTGCCTAATTATGATTGATGCTTAAATGACATTACTAACCAACCATGGCCCATGGCTAAACATGTTACATGGGTATCATCGCGATGGTTGAAAATGAAAATTATTATGTTCAAACTCCTAATTAAGAGTTTATTCATGAAAAGAACAAGAAATTGTGGTTAAACAATAGTAAATGCTGTTTAGACATGCAAATAAGAAATTAAACAGAAGGGCATACCGATGTATACTCAGGATCGAAATACCCAAATGTTCCGAGAACTCTTGCAGTCACAAATGTGTCCTGGCCTTCCGGCATCAACTTCGCAAGACCAAAATCAGATATCTGTAAAGGATAGGGATACAGAGTTTAGCTATATGCTTTTCATGATGATATTTACATGTAACTTTTTTTATGAGCAGTAATTATGAAAAACCTCCTGGTAATATGGGACCTAGGCATTCGTGGGTCAGTTGAGGTTATTGGAGTCTCAAAATTGTTACCTTTGCTTCAAAATTTGCGTTTAGAAGAATGTTGGTGGATTTAAAATCTCGGTGGACAATTGGTATGCCAACATCAGAACTAGAGTGGAGATAAGCAAGTCCCCTTGCTGCTCCAAGTGCCACTTTTAACCTTAAGGACCAATCCATTTTTGCTTTCCCAAATCCTAGAATACAGTTGCAGATTACTAGACGTGCAATTAAGGATTTGGGAATGAGAATAGGATTTTGAGTGATAAACTGACCATTTAAATGATCTTGCAGATTCCCATGTTGCAGATATTCATACACTAGAAACCTGTGCTTCCCATCAGCACAATATCCAATCAAGGAAACCAGATTGGGGTGCTCAAGTCTGCTCAAGATGTCAACTTCTACACGAAACTCCCGTTCCCCTTCAGCTTCTTTAAATGTTGGCAGCTCCATTTTCTTGATTGCTACAACCTTCAGATTAGAGAAGAGAAACACGTTTGTGTGTGTTTTGAAAACTGGAGTGTCATGTTTAACTTCTTTGTTCTATTATTTTACGTAATATAGGAACTAATTTGGTGAAGGTCTTTTAGAATGAAAATTGGATGCATTAGCTATATATCTCTTTGGGAAGCTCAGAATTTTAAGCATAAATATCATTCAGACCATGGTTTGGGTTCAGAAAAAACCATTTCAGGACCATATCACAGTTTTTTTTTTTGGAGTACGATAAAATTTTTTGTTAGAAAGAAGTACCTCTCCTGACCGCAGGATGCCCCTATAGACTCGGCCAAATCCCCCTTTTCCAAGAAAATTTTTTTCACTGAAAGAACATGTTGCCTCTTCCATTTCCTTGAGTGTGAAAACTGATGATCCATGGCATCGCTTTGTGGGTTGAGGTGTTTGATCTTCAAGTTGCCAAAACTCCACAGGTTTATAAACCCCTAGAAAGTAGGTAGATAAACTTTCAAACCATGAAACTGCTATTATGATTTGCAAAAGAGGGTGAAAGAAAATATGTAGGTTATCAGAAAAAGGAGAGAGGAGGATGACGTACAAGGGTCTGAGTGATCTTGGGATTTGCTTCTCCGTCGCTTGTTCCATGCTGTGACCAATCCGAAAGGCATAATGGTCTTCCTTGGGTAAGCTTAACCTCTGCTTTATTTAAAGATTAGTGTAATGAAGCGTATGATGGTAGACAGACAAGTAGAAGGAGAGATGAAATTTCATGACAAAACTGGAAGTAGGATGTCACAGTTCTCTACGCCAGAGATGAATCCAGTTCAGCTAACTTGAATTGAACTATAGGTTTCCAGGAAAAATATATGACGAAAGTTGAAAAGAGGATAAAGCTTGGTTGCTAAAGATGAGTAAATATTAGAAGGAGAAACCTCAGGAGTACGTATTGAGCAAGTGAAGGAAGATTAGGAGGATACTCAACTACAACATCTTCCAACAACTTGTTTTTTTGGGAGAGAGATGTGCTTCAAGAAAAAGAAAACGCAAATAAAGTTGAAGTTGGGTATTTGCTTGCTTACCTTTTGGTGATTTAGCGGAATGGTGGGATGTGCATTGTTTGATAAGGAAATACAAGCTGCAACCTCTCCCTCCAATTTCATTTGATTTTTTTTTTAAATAAAAAAAAAATTTTGGAAAAAGAAAGTGCATGGCTGTTGAGAGGTTGCTTTCATTCCTTCCATCTAGTTTTCAGTAAATTGGTTTTTTCATCTCCCTCCCACCTTTTCTCTCTGTTCCACAAAACTATTATTATTATCTCTTGAATATGTCAAAGCAATTAGATGTTTACAGTAATTTTATTGCCATTGATATCGGGATCAGAACTAAGCCTCCAATCTTCTAAACTATCAAGTCTCATTCATCAAGCATAAAACATTAATGGAGACATAAATATTCTGAACATAAGTTGAACTACTTGTTGCTAACAGGTTTGGGGAGTTGGGAGATAAGGCTTAAGAGTAGGGGAAAAGACTACAAAGTGGTTTCCATAAACTTGAACACTCGTTTATGGACTTGCTTTCATCATTATTTCTAATTCACTATTACTGTATTCACAGCTTCCTTCCTTTTTTGGCCTTTTTTTTCTTATAATCTCAGGCACATGCATAAATTGGGACCATAGAGCTGAGGTTCCTAATTATGTGCTCTTTTTAGCAGCTAGAAGTCGAAATATATGTTACTTATAATTATTGCTTGTAACGTCAAATAGACTGAAAAAATGACAGTGCTTGCTAAAGTCAAATAAGATTTCGAAATAGCACCTTTTTCAATAAAAGACACATTATTGCACCAAGACTAAATTATTTGTATATAGTGGGGATTCCAACTCTGCTGTTATATCTTAAAAATTTTCAATGTTCTCTTTATGCTAGGAAAAAAATTGAATATCAATCGAGAGAATTAAATAATTTTAACAGATTGGTTTCTTAGTTAAAAAGATTTTTTTATTTTATTTTATTTTCTGAGTTTATATCTTAGAGTATAAATTAATGCAATGTTTAAGCTGATTTGATAATATTTTTATTGTTGAATAAAAAAATTAATGAAATTTAATGACAAGCCAACTGTATAATTTTTTTTTAAAAAAATCTAAAGTCGTTTTGTGACTATATTCAGATTTTGTTATATGTTTAACGGTTACGGGTAACATTGAAAATTTTTGAAAACTATACATTAGTATAAAATTGAAAAAGTTAAAATATATTAGTAGAATTGGAACGTGGATCCATACAGGAGCAGTAATAAAGTTTATCTTGAAGCAAACACATACCCCTACCTTGAGAATACATTAATAGAAGGCTACTTAGTTAAAAATTACCATGACCATTAGTTAACAAGAACTTAATTTTTAACTTCTTCTTCTTTCTTCTTTCTTCTTTTTTTTTTTTTTTTTAAATTTGATTTAGATCTCTAATTTTTCCTGTAACATCATAATCCCTCATATTTTTATTCTCTCGTTAAGTTTGATTGCACATTTTTATTATACCTTAAGTTTGACCACATACGATAAGTATGTGTGTTTTAAAAAATATAATATTTATAGCTGTAAGATGGTAGTTTTTTAATACGAAAATATCAAGTTATAAGTCAAATTTAGATTTCGATACTTATTTTTAATATTTTTAAGAATTTATTTTTAAAATATTTAAAAATTTTCATTTAAGAAGTATTCCTTAACAAGTTGAAAATTAATCCAAATGCATCTTTATTGTTCAGGAAAAAAAAAATCATGTGTCCAATAACGCCCTCGTAAGCACGTGGAACGGTGGAAGTTGGAAAAAGAAAATTGCAGAATGAAAAAATTATCATTAGTTAAAAATTACCATGGACCATTAGTTAACAAGAACTTAATTTTTAACTTTTTTTTTAATTTGATTTAGATCTCTAATTTTTTTCTGTAACATCATAATCCCTCATATTTATATCCTCTCGTTAAGTTTGATTGCACACTTTTATTATACCTTAAGTTTGATCACACATGATAAATATGTGTTTTTAAAAATATAATATTTATAGCTATAAGGTGGTAGTTTTCTAATAAAAAAATATCTAGTTAGAAGTCAAATTCAGACTTCAATCTTTATTATTAATATTTTTAAAAATTTATTTTTAAAATACTTAAAATCTTTCACTTAAAAGTGTTACTTAACGAGTCGAAAATTAATCCGAAAGCATCTTTATTGGTTTTTTAAAAAAAAAACATATCATGTGTCCAATAACGCCCTCGTAAGCACGTGGAACGGTGGAAGTTGGAAAAAGAAAATTGCAGAATGGAAGAATCTATCCATTTCTAAAATTTGATTTAAAAATTAAACAAAAGAAAACAATCCCAAAACAAAATAAGATTCTTTTTTTCCAATGCGTTTTATTTATCTATAAAATTTGCCAAATCTCTAATTATAAACGAAAAAAAAAACATTAGCATATCTTTATTTTTAGTTTTGAAAGAGAGTTAACGGAGAAAAAGAAGAAGAAGAAGAAGAAAAAGCAAAGCCTTGTTAGAGATCAAATAGGGAAACCAATCGAATATTGGTTTGAGAAACCCATTCAGTTGTTGTTGACGATCGCATCTAGAAGACGGAAGACCTGACACGAATGGATCAGGAGGGAGGAAAAGGCTTGAATGTTGGTTAGCTGCGTTGATATTTTTAGGGTATTATCAATCTGGTTAAATCTACTTGGTCGTTTGAATTCTCTAGCTTGAGCTCGTGTTTACTCCTGAAAAATCTAAGATATCACGCCAAGGATAAAACTGTGACGAATGTAGTGGCAAACGCAGGGTCAAATATCTACATAGCTTAAAATAAATATTTAAAAATTTACGATGATTTACATAAACTTATATATATTATAAATAATTTATTAATATATATTTTTAAATAGTTTCAAAATATAATAATTCAAAATAGAGATTTTTGTTTTTTTAAATCATAATAAAAATAAATAGAAGAATTTGACTCCTTATTAGAATTTAAAATGACAACATTTTTTTTAAAAAAATACATTAATGGTATGTAACTTTTTTATCTACAATAAAAATAAATTACAAATATGAATATGTAACAATTTCTAAAGTGTGATATGAAACAAATTATAAATTCACTTAAAATATAAATAAGATATTCAAATTTTTAACAAAATAAATAAATAGACCACCATCCAAGTCTATTGGGAGCCACCCTCAAGCTCACCGATATACGTATCTAAAAGTATTAAGGATTATATTAGCACCGACCGTTCCACTAATAAGTTGAATATATTTCAAAATAGTCACTTTAATAATGTAGAACCTATAAAATGTAAATAAGAAAAATCGTTATTATTAATAAACATTGAGAATTTAGTATATTAATCTAAATATGGTTGTGACTAAAATAATTAAAGATACTTTTTAATAACCATTAATGAAGAATGATTATTTGTAAATTGCAATCCTACATTCCTACTAGTACAACTCCTTTTTTTTTTTTTTTCTCTTTGGGTCTATAATTACAAGCACAACAATAATATAAAATTTCAAAATCAATAGTACAATTTTAATTCAAATAAATAGATTATTAGAATTTTACTAAGTCATGGATTCAATATTTCAATATATACCTTAATAACATAAAATAAAATTAAAAAGACAACCGATCTAATATTTTAATTATAAAATATTATTTAAAAAATAAAATTAGAAATTGCCAAGATTCAATTAATATATAAAATGAAAAACTTAATAAATTAATAATGTAAACAATATAATAAGAGTTAATATATTATTTATTTTTGAAGAAAACATATATTGTATTGTAAAATAAGAAAAATCTAGATTAGAGAGAAAATTTTCTTTTTGATGTTTTGAATAGAATGAAATTTAAGAGAAAGAGAAGAACGAACTAGTGTAATAATGATGAGAGTAAGTTGGGTTCAAATTAAACAAATATTAAGGGATTATTATTAACTGGATTTGTCCTATGCTAATATAGAAAAAAACAAAAAATTGAGGGGGGGCCAGGGCTCCTTTTGGGCATAACGTGCGTCCGCCCCTGGACGAATGGATGACATTACAGACAGTTACAAGATCTAAATCAAATTTTTAAAAAGGTTAGGAGCTAAGTTTCTATTGACCAAGAGTCCATGTAGCTTTAATAGAAACGTTTAAGACCAGAACATTCTGGTTGGTTTGGTTGGATGGAGCAGCATGGTACACGTCCGTTTGACATGACTTTTGGTCATAATCCAAAAGTTGTTTTTATAAGTAACTTAAAACAAAAATGAATTACAATAAATTTAAGTTACAATTATGTTTAGTATAAACGATTAAAATCAACTATTTTTTTTTAAAAAGGAACGTAACAATATAAGTCATATGATCCATAATTTAAAAGTTCAAAATTTCAACTTTGATTAAATCAAAATTTTAATTCAATTTTATTACAAACTTTTGGTTTAAGTTGATTTAAGTTAAAAGTTATTTCTAGCCAAACATGTGATTTTTTTTAATCAAAAATTAAAAAAATTACTTAAATCAATTTGTAAAAGTCATACCAAACATAGCTTAATTATTCATTTCCATTTACATTTGTAAATTTGAACTTTTTATTTGTAGATGGTTAGTTTAATTACTAGTACTTTTTCTTTGTCAAATAAATTATCACCGGGTGGATACTCATGCCACGTTGCGGTCGGACAACCGCAATGTGTACAAGATCGATGAATTGTATGGTATAGTGTGGGTGAAAGTTTCATCTTTTGTGGTTAATGAAAATTGAATAAATTTGTTAATCATAACTATTATTTGTTTATAGGGGTTTTGTTGTTGTGTTTTGCCTATGAATGTCATGTTAATTTGTTATTTTTTTGCAATATTGATTTGTGCCATTTGGCAATGAGACGGTAGTGAGGAAACACAATGTTTGCAATATTATAAAATTATGCATATGTGGAGCTACAATGCCTTTTTTGTTGAATCATTATTGGTTTTTCATGGTGTCCGATGATTCATACATAAGAATGAGGCTTTCGTGGTGTTTGTTCCATTGTATTAATGACATTGAAGACATAAGTCGCAACGAAGTAATGGTGACATGTATTGTTTGAAGGGGTGCATCGAATC